CATCCCGCCAGATCAATTCCCCATACAACCTGGCAAACAGCATCATTAAGTCCATACTGTCTCAGATCTCGTGTGGGAGATGTCAAGATCTGATCTTTGACTTTGCTGGGTTGCTTATCTCCTAATTTTGGAAGCTTTACCCTGTGCGACCGCAGTCATGTTCTGGATACTGATACTGATACCGGTATTGTTGATATCTGCCTGCTAAGAGACCCTATAGCGGTAAGTACCTTTCTGTGTGTATACAGTCCGATGCTGGTTTGTTTGTTAGCTTGGTACACTAGGCACTCTTGGTAGTACAATATACATAGTGCACTGAACGAAATCTATTTCGAATAGTCCCAAAGCTTACACCGATTAATGAATAGGCATTAGCTGGATTTGATATGGCATTTTGAATGTTAGAGATGGCGTATCCAAGGTAAGATTATGCATTAGTTAGCCATGAAAACACATAGGAAAGTTGACACGAGGTCTCGAACTAACAAAGAAACCAGTACTGGACTGTATATACATGCGTCATCTTGGTACATCTGATTATCACGGGAATATGTGGCAGAACCGGTCACTACACCCATTGCTACCATGATCCGCATCCAGGGTTTCTCAGGAGGTCTTAGATCGACAATGCCTTGGCCGAGGATATACGTCTCATTCCGTCGGCTTGGTTGCGGGCGGGTGGGCGGCTGTAGCTTAGGGTCCGTCTCACGCATTCCTCAATGTGTAGAGTTTTGTACACTAGTATAGACGGGTAGGTAGGTACCTCGGGCTAATGCTTGAAATTGACTGAGAGAATGCCTTGTTCTGGAGTCCGTCAGGTTCCTGCCACTAACTGGTAAAGTCATTGGCATATCATGCCATCGTGATACCTACTTGAGGAGATGATGATGATTGGATGTACATGTAACTTGCTGCAGATGGAGCTTGGAGCTGGAGGTTCCTTCAAGACATCCACCAAGGCTTTATCACACCTGCTATAAATATCAGATATCCAAGGTACCGTCTGGGTCGCCGATGACCGCCAATAAGCGGCCGCTACCGGTAGGTACCTACTATCTAGTTGCAGCACCCAGGAACCGTTCCATGACTCTTGTATGGTTTCTGGGCGGGCATGGAAAGGCCCGAGGTCCGGGCATGACATCGCCAGATCACCTTACTGCTATCAAACCATCTCACCGCCTTCATCTGGCAGCCTACCTATGTACATGCCTCTCATGATGGATGTTCTGGAACAAAAGCTGGCAAAGCCTGGAAGCTTCCCCAGTCCATCCCCATTCGTCGTGGTGAAACTTGAATTGAGATCTCCGAACACTTTCTGTAGAAGAAGCCCCCGTTCGGCTGCGGGCGTTATGCGGCGGTGGTTACCTCATTACTGTCACCGGCCACTTCCACCTCCTCCACGCTCCGTCCACGCTCCACTGGCCTCCACCACCGTGAGGGGACCACCTGGGGCAGTGCCGTTTTCCACTTCTCTTTGTCTCCATGCGGCGACCTGACCACCTAGCTCACCTCCACCGTCTCTGACTGTCCCCCGACAATCAATTGAAGTTCCTCCTGCAACCTGCACCTAATTACCTACTTCTCAAGAGGCAATCCGAAGCTGCCTCTGCGACACTGCACACTGCGAATCCGTCAAAACCGCAAGATTTACCGTCTCCAACCACCAGAGAAAGAGGCACTCGCCCCCCAAGCCTTGTTACAAGCATACAGTATCAGCAAAAACTCTATCAGTCAGCACTTCCTTGCCGTACCTCCGTACCAGGCAACCAACCGCCCAACCAGATCGGCCACATCCGGCCCTTCTTTTCTTTCATCACCTTCGCCTCCTCCGAACGGGTTCGCCGCTATTCTTGGAAGCTGCAACCAACGATTCCAGAACAATAGCCCTTCGGACCATGAATGGCTGCCCTCTTGCCGCCTACCCGTTTGGTCATGCATAGTAGTGTTGAATCTGAACGGCCGGCATCGCCTTCCCCCGCAGTTGCACCTCCAGCACCCGCAACAATGGACAGCACCGCGAAGATTCTCTCGGATCTGCACCAAAAACTCGCTGATCTCCACCGGCACATGGCCGAGTTTCACCGGTACATGGACGACTGTCTGAAAAACTACCCCGAAATTTCGTCCGAGGTCTCACGAGTCATAGCCGAGTCCATGCACAAGTACCCGGCCCTCACCTTGATGGCCCGCGACGCCCGCGACCCTGAAAGCCCCCGACCTCAGTCGCCCACAGACAAGATCCTCGACAGTGAAGCCCTTTGCAGAGACGCCCGCAAGTCGCCTCCGCCCATCTTATACCATACATCCGGCACCCCGAAGGAAGGCCCAAGAAGCCCCCACGAGCGCGAGAGAGAGTTCCAAGGCTTGTTCACTCCTAGATACCTGCCCCTGCTCGATAGCACCCACCGCGGCCTGCAGTCACCCCCGGAGTCTCCAGTACCCACGCCGCTGCCGCTTCCCTTGTCTCAAGATAATGTGAAGAAAGTGGATGACCTCAAGGAGCCAGAGGCCATGTTGAAGTTCGACATCCGCCCGACCCCGGTCAGACGGTTGACCGACCGATCCTCATCGTCAGTTGAGTCGTCGATATCTGGAAGCGACTCAAAAGTGCGAAGGAGCGCTTTGCGACGTTCTTCAAGTTCAACCAAGGGCAGCCCACGCCGGGTGCGTTTCGAATTTGCGGGCGAGGAGGTCTTTCCATCGACCTCTCCCCAGGACGCTTCTGCCGTTACAGTCCCGCCCCCGCTGAGTGGGGATGATGGGGCTGATGGGGCGCAGACTCCTCCTCCTCCCCCTCCTCCTCAACTGGAGGCCGCTGCGCCTATCATACCGTCGACAAGCGAACCACCTGCGTATACTGGAACATCGCTGCTTGACATTGAAGGCGAGGAGGACGCGCTGCCGAGGCCTAAGAAAGTCTCGTCCACGCAAGCACTTCGCGCCCTTTCTCGGAATGCCCCACTGGATGCCGGAACTTGGACAGAGGTGAACGCGGATCCGGAAGAGACACCCAAGATGAACGGCGGAAAGCAGGATGATTGCACCCTGAAGCAGGACCAGCCATCAGGGCAGGTTTCTGGAGGAAAGCCGCAAGACGGCCAGCATCACGAACAGCTTCATCCTCAAGCACAGAGCTTTACCAAACACAAAGTCGAGACCAAATCGTCCCCCCTTGCACACCATGTTGTAACGCAACAGTCCAATGGCGACCAGAGTCTCGGATCCCCACTGGAAGAGTTGCAACGGGATGAAGACGACGACAGTTCCGACGACGACGAATTTCTCTCGATGAAAGCGAAGAAAAAGCCGGTCTCGCCAACTATTCGAAGCTCATTTGGGCGCCTACCTACCATCTCCGAGACCGCTCAAAACACTGCGAGGTCCTCGCCCAACAACGCTGCTCACACTAAATCGCCATTAGTGGATGAGTTCGGTAAAGGGAAAGTGGTGGATGACGTACCCGAAGATGCCTTCTTTGACTTTGAGGGAGAGGGCATCTCCACCGGTGTAGAGTCCGATACAGAGAAGTACATTGCCGAAGATGATTTCGACGACGATGACGACAACGACGCTGCTGCGAGCAAGGTACCGCCTGAAGAGCGCCCGAGAGTAGCCTCCATAGCTAGCGGATCCAATGCTTCAACAGAGCCAGCCCCGGTCCGCAAGGTTCCTCCGGCTACGCCATCGGCCGCCTTGTTTGGCCATTCGGTTGGATCGTACAAGGGAACTTCCATGCGCATGAACCCCATCAGCAACCCGAAGCTGTACGATGAAATTGCTGGCATGAGAAACGTACACACCTTTGTTGGTAGTGTCGATGGCCGCAGCGGCGTGGAGGCTATTGACATGGGGAGCTACCGTGCATATTTGGTTAAGAACCATGCCAGTGCTACTCCCCGCAGTTTTACGGAGCGATTGGCATTTGAGGAGGCTATGGAGCGGAGGAGGTCAATGAGGGACTCGGACGATGAAGATTTGTAGAAGCATACTAATAATGGCACGCTGTGGTTCGCATGATACCCTGGAGGAGCAGAGGGTTGGAAAGGATTACGCATGGAACTGATGAGACAGGAGTTCATGGGATCGGTATTACTGGAGGCAGACATTTCCTCTCTGAGCATTGAATTGAACCTGCTACAAGCGACGCTTCTCCTTCTATTACCCTGTAACGGTAAAGCTTATCATGTTACAAACGCAAGTGGGCATACGAGGAACCTTATAACGTGTTGATTCTGAGCGAGTGGCAGCCAGATGGGAGACATGGCGGGTGGTACACAAAGTCTAATGCTCCGTATGCAATGGGAAAATGATTTAATTGGACTTCTTGAAACATGCAATTGCCTATGTCACCATGCCCACAAGTCATCCCCTTCGGGACCACGGACCGGCGGTACCAAAGCCGGACGCTGTCCGTTGTCACTTCGGTGCCCCGGGTCCGGGCAACGGCGGCTCATGCGCAACCAATCAGAAGGAAGGAATTCATGAACCATGCCTTAACATTCTGGAAGGTCTCTCCCGTCCAAGCTTTGTTTGTCATGGCGGCTTGTCACCTCGCACCACTGATGCACCCCCATTTCATCCAAGTCGTAGCCCGTGTCACAAGTTCCTTCCCGTCGCGATGCCATTCTCAACTTATTCCCAGCGATTTGGCATGGGTGGTCTCCCTTTAGTCTACCGGTGCAAACCCACTTAACCTGAGCTTCAATTACACGGACCGGCAACTAATTCGGTGAACCCTTTGATCACCGAGACTCGCACTTGCCCGGCTGCTGGAAATCTGTACAACTTCACGGCGCCACAAAGACAAAGGAAAGGTGGTGGCGGGCAAGGGAGACCAACATATAGCTAGGTGTCCTCAGAGACAACAAGGTCCCCAACCAAAATCCGAGACGGGAAAACCAACAAACGAACCAAATGAAATGACACGACGCAACCGCTTCGCGACCAGGTCGCCGCAGCCAACAATTACGGCGGGGACCAAGTCTCTGCGACCAACAACAATGTCTGCTCTACCAACCCTCCTCAACCTCCTCTTCGCTGCCGTCGTGCTCTTCGTCGCCCCATCCCTCGCCTACCAACCTCTCTCCGACACCCAACTCAAAGCCATCCCCGCTCCCCTCAATTCCGACTTCGACATCAAAACCGGCGCGCTCCTCGCCCCGATCCTGATCCCTCGCGTCCCCGGCACTCCAGGACAGGCCAAAGTCCAGAAACACTTTGTCGACTTCTTCTCGCGCGAACTGCCCGAATGGGACATTTCGTGGCAGAACTCAACAGCCACCACTCCCCTCTCAGGGAAGAAACAAATCCCTTTTCAGAACCTGATCTTCCGACGGGAACCACCATGGACGAAGGAGCGAGGGCCGGGCAGGGCGGCGCTGTTGACGCTGGTGGCGCATTATGATTCCAAAATCAGCCCCGAAGGGTTCATCGGGGCGACGGACAGCGCGGCGCCTTGTGCGGTGTTGATGCATGTCGCTAGGACGGTGGAGGGGTATTTGAAGAAGGTTTATGAAAAAGGGGTTTCCGGGGAACTGGGGAAGGAGGGGAGGGAGGACCCAAAGAGGGAAGTGGGGGTGCAGATATTGTTGTTGGATGGCGAGGAAGCGTTTAAAGAGTGGACAGATACGGACTCGCTTTATGGTGCTAGGTGGGTTTTGCCTGTTTTTTCCCCCCAGTCTGTTGGATGATCTATCAAGGAGAATGAAAGGACACTAACACCATACTGCTTATGAAAACAGATCTCTCTCCGAGGAATGGGAGAATACACCCTACCCGGCCCTGTCGCGCTTCGCCAACCCCATTCGGCAAATCGACCTCTTCGTCCTGCTCGACCTCCTCGGCTCCGCCGACCCGGGCGTGCCCTCGTACTTCCAGACCACCCACTGGGCGTACAAGAACATGGCCACGGTTGAGGCGCGCATGCGCGCCCTTGGACTCTTGGAAAGCAAACCCAAGGACCCGTTTCTGCCCGAAGCCGGCAAGCTCAAGGAGCATTTTGGCAGGGCCTACGTGGGCGATGATCACCAACCGTTCATGGCTAAAGGAGCGCCGGTGCTGCATATGATCCCGACCCCGTTTCCGCATGTGTGGCATAAGATTGAGGATGATGGGGAGCATCTGGATTTGCCCACGGTCAGGGATTGGGCGAGGATTGTGACGGCTTTTACTATTGAGTATCTGGAGGCTACGACAGGAGAGGCTGGGGCTGCTGGAGGTGGGAAGGAGGGAAAAGGGGAGGATGCTGCTGCTGCTGCTGCAAAGCAGGGGACTACTGATGGGGAGGAGAAGGCTGGTGAGGGTGCTGGGAAAGGGCCTTGATGGATATCTTGTCTCATTGTTTTGTTGTTCACTAGTCGGTTTATAAGAAGCTGTCAATATACATGGTTCAGGTAAGCAGCCATGTATAAACCAGTTGTGGATGAAAGTGCAGTGCTGTCACGGTACACTCTGAATCTAAGTTTAGATGCTCCTTTGTGGTCTGGTCTGATCTACAACTTACACAGTACAAGGTGTAATCGGATGGGATGGTGGAGCGATGGAGACGCGACTTCGGGACTGAATCTCGACGCAATAGTGTGGCCCCCGGTTTGCAAGCATCAATGTCGGTCTCTTTTAGAGGTGACTGTAAAATTCCCAAATACAGTTCAAATCAGTTGCTTGGGTGATTTCAGGGCCACTTTCTGCCCGTCGTATCGCAAGCTCCCGTCATTGTAGAAGTAAGTTTTCCCCATTCTAGAGGCATCCAACATGTATCCTTAGGGGTGCAGCGGGGTGGCGGGGCAGGACCATGTTGGCGCTGTAAAAAGTGGAATTCAAGGAAGTCACAACGTCAAGTAGGTTCCATCGCCTCAGGTCCCCACTGCCCTTCCTGGCGCGCGCCTGCCCAACCCAAACAACCAACCCAGGGCAACCTTATTTCCACTTCCATGTCCACGTTTGACCCTTCCACCATCCGTCCTCATTCCGACATCCACGCCTGACTCTTCCACCGCCTGCGAACATCTACCGTACGCCATCTCCCATAAAGTCTGAACCGCCTCTCCCATACCGCCTACGATCGCCAATCCCATCTTCACATTGTTCTGGACTTGTTAGATTTATCGGCGCAGAGACTGCTTCAGTGCATCTCTGCTTTCCATCACGGCTTCTCACGGGCGACAGCTGCCTGACCAACAAAACCCAACAGGCGGCGAATCCTTCAATCCCCTGCGCAAGACGGTCACTATTGGCTCTGTACTTTTCAACCGCGCCCATACGACCCAGCGACAACCTTCGCCACATCCTCATTATCTAGTTCAACAGTCCTCCATTTCTTCAACCACAGCCCAGTCGGATCTATCTTCGGCACTCAGAGAAGCCATGGACGGCAGGAAACACCCAAGCTCTTTCCAGCAGCTCGAAAAGTTGGGAGAGGGTACTTATGCTACTGTAAGAGATATCTTCTTGGCCCAGGACGGTTGTCCCTCGGTGAACACGGGGAAGTACTTGTAGGGTGCAAATGGCTGACACTACGTCCTCAGGTCTTCAAAGGCCGCAACCGACAGACGGGCGAGCTAGTAGCTCTCAAGGAGATTCACCTTGACTCGGAAGAGGGAACACCGAGCACGGCAATCCGCGAGATCTCGCTCATGAAAGAACTGAAGCACGAGAACATTGTTGCTCTACACGATGTTATTCACACCGAGAACAAGCTTATGTTGGTGTTTGAGTACATGGATGGCGATCTTAAAAAGTTCATGGACACCAATGGCGAAAGGGGAGCCCTGAAGCCCCATGTCATCAAGTCCTTCATGCATCAGTTGCTCAAGGGTATTGACTTCTGCCACAAGAACAGGGTCCTACATCGAGACCTGAAGCCGCAGAACCTCCTTATCAACAGCAAGGGCGCTCTGAAGCTGGGAGATTTCGGTTTGGCGAGAGCATTCGGTATCCCAGTTAACACCTTTTCGAATGAGGTCGTCACTCTTTGGTATCGAGCTCCCGACGTGCTTCTTGGAAGTAGAACCTACAACACCAGCATCGACATTTGGTCCGCGGGATGTATCATGGCTGAGATGTTCACCGGCAGGCCCTTGTTTCCCGGCACCACTAATGAGGATCAGATTGTTCGCATTTTTAGGATAATGGGCACGCCGACGGAACGTACATGGCCTGGCCTCACCTCGTTCCCCGAGTACAAGCCTAACTGGCAAATGTATGCGACACAGAGCCTGTCATCCATCTTGCCTCAGATTGACCGCGACGGCATCGACTTGCTTCAGCGGATGCTACAGTTGCGACCTGAATTGCGAATCTCGGCCCACGATGCGCTTCAACACCACTGGTTCAACGACCTGGTCCACCAACAGCATCATCACCAAGCGCAGCAGTCCATGATGCAACAGCCGCCAATGATGCAGCAACAGCCAATGATGCAGCAGCATAGAGGCTATGGACAGCCGCAACCCAACTACGAGGGCTACTAGACAGAGTATCTTCCAAAAAGCGGAAGGCAGACACGGCCGGTTCTGGGGTTCCCTCCACCAGTTTTGTGGCATCGGCCGATGCCAGTAGTGCCAGGGTCCCCTCCACCAGGATTTAAGAAGATTTGGGAGCAACTGATGCCAGTAAGAGAGGGCTGCTACACCGAAGAGCAGTTTCTAGGAGGGCGAACAATGCCAGAGTATCCTCCACCAGGGAGATATCCTCAACCGATACTCGGACATCCTCCAGCATGGAAATATTCTCAACCAATGCCCGGGCACCCTTCACGTGGGAAACATCCGCAACCGATGTCATGGTATCCTTCAGGTCAACAGGTTCAAACGGGCCTTTTACCGAGAGAAAATGATTTGGTTAACCGTGGCATGGGTTCGACTACAGACCAATTAATGGCGTGGAAGGGAAATTTTAGGAGTGACAATTCTGGGATGGACATGCCACGGCGGTCACTGCCCGTGGACCCCAGTTTCAACCCGTTTCTACATAATAATGGACAGCGAAATATAATGACGCCACACAGGCCTCCAATACAAACAAGTGTAATGGGTGATGGACACCCAAATGCGATGCCGCCGCGATTTCAGTTGCTTCAGTCATCTTTTGTGCCTCCGGTTCCCCCTCCTCCACCGGCATTACCGAGGTTACCGGCGTCACATGCGCCTCGACATCAACACATGGAATTTCCACAAAGTTTCCAAACTCAACCCATGATGTGAACGGTTCCGGACCTAACGTTGGAGAGAGAGGTTCATCTGTATCTCGGTTTGAGAAGCTGCCGCCTGATTCTCGATCATTTCGGACAAGAACATACGCCGATGTTGCACGTTCCTCGAGCTCAACTCGCGAAGCTAATGACACACGGCGGACGAGCACAATAACCAAGTAGACGGTAGTCCTTGTTATTATGCTTACTTGGTATGGTCATTATCTACAAAACGGAGGCATAGCTGGAGCCTTGGGCGAAGATGACGGGAAAAGGGTAGCGCACGCCAGAGAAAGGTTGTTGTGCCGTACTTATGCATTTGATTTGCCTTTCCTTCAAATAGTTGTTACGATTAGCAGCGGAAGTTTTCATGTATGTTGAATTGAAGCGAACATTGATGATAGTCTTCATCATTCTCATTGTTCCCGTATTTGCTTTACTAGAGAGTTTAGGCTGTTCTCTTAGTCGGGTTGAACTGTATATTTGTAATTCGAGATAGCACCAACGTTATACATGAGTTCTGAGAAATGCTGGTGATGAGATGCTCGGCTATTATTACGCGGTGTATGTACATTGTCTAAACAAGCGAGCTTTCATCCCAAACCAAACGGCCTTTCGCGATTGTTGGCATCGATCCTCTTATAGACACAATGACCTTTTCATGTTCCTTCCAGGTTGTTGGCATGATGCATTAGGTTCCCCAGAACTCCGTTGTTAAAGGTGGAACACCCCGCAAGAGGGCGGGCGGGAGCGTCTACTACGTATCGATAAGCCTTGATCCCTGGCCGGCCCAGAGGTGCCTGGAAGCCCGCCTGGGCCTGCTCCACCTGATTTGTTGTAGCCGCAGTGTAACCAGCGCCGGACATGGCGCACTGCGACGGACTTCGACGCTACCAAAGAGTCGGTACTGGCACTGCCCGAGCTTGATCCATGCCCTGCAACAACCGTACAATAATAACCCATTCTCCAACGACAACCCGACTCGTTGTGTCTCCTGGCCACCGACAACGCAACTTGTCGCGACAACCAACCGACCAGCCGTCTCTCCATCGACAACCCTTGGCTTTCCACTGCATGCTTTAAACCGTCTTCTCGGGAAACAGTCGCCGCGATGGCTGCCGTGGAGTCACGCAAAGGTATCGTACACCTTTGGACGCGCCCGCAATGATGGCGAAGACGATGCCTTTCCACAGAACGACGCTGACCATGCTTGTGCGAGGGAACAGACGAGGAGGCGACCACTATCAAGGTTGCCTCGTCAAAAGCGATCCGTAATGTCGTCAAGCTGAAGAGGCAACCAACAAATAAGCTCTCGAAGCCAGGCAATTGGAAGGAAGCCACAACACCGCTTGATAGTCTGTACCCATTCATCACCGAATCCATCAACCTGTTCCTCTTCCGCCGCTAACCGATTGCTTGCATAAACTTAGACGAGGAAAAGAAAAGGGCCAAGGAGAACGCCGCCCCTCCGAGCCCCATCATCAATCAACTAGACCCCCCCGCACAAGTCACATTCGACACCGGCCGGCCGCTTGACGATGTTCCCGATCTGATCTACTGCAAGCTCTGCAAGAAGGGAGTCATCAGGACCTCCGGGAAGGAGCATATCGACGAATGTCTTCGCATCAAGAGGGAAAAGGCGCAACGCAAAAAGGAGGCCCGCGAGGCACGTGAGCGCGCCAAGGAGGCTGCTCGTGAGGAGGAAGCCCGCAAGAACGACCCCGACGGCGCTGCGGGCCGCGACGATGACGACAGCGACGCTGACGAGCCCACCGAGAGAAAGGGGAACGGTGGAAAGACGACAAAGAAGGCTACCGGCAAGAAGCCCGATACCGGCGGAAAGAAGAGGAAGGCCGAGGGAGACCTGGAGAAGGGCAAGGCCAAGAAGAAGAAGGACGAACCGAAACCCAAGACCGCCAAGCCCAAGGGCCCTGTGGATGTTGAGAGGCAGTGTGGTGTCATCTTGCCCAACGGGCAGCCTTGCGCTCGTTCACTCACGTGCAAGAGTCACAGTATGTCGGCCAAGAGATCCGTGCCGGGGCGATCCCTACCGTATGATATGCTCCTTGTGGCATATCAGAAGAAGAATCAAGCAAAGCAGCAACGAGCCGCCATCGACGCCAATGCCCCGTTGGAGGAGGACGACGATCCGAATGCCGGTGCGGTGGACAGTGACGAGGAGACAGCTGCCGTTATGAACGCCCTAGCGAACTGGCGACCGCAACCGGTTGTCCCTCAACCTATCATTGCACCGATCAAGAGGCAGTACCAGCTGGCACGGTTGCACGAGCAACTCCAGACCGTAACGAACGGCGGCCGACTCAACATTTTCAAGGTTGTTGGATTTGGTGCTCAGAAGCTCCCGGAGGGCCATCCTGGTCTCTATCAGCAAGAGGAGGAACATGCCGGTGATCCCGACGTCTCCATGCAAGAAGCATTTTCCCGACGTTCATCGACTTTCAGTCTTGCAGGACCACCGCAGCGAAGGCCATCAGTGACAAGCAGAGCTTAGGATGCTCGGCCACATAGCCCCTCATCGCAACATCGAAATCCTAAAACTGCTTTATCCCCAATACTGGAAAACTACACGGTATCCAGTACTTCTGCTTCGAAACGAAAACGGCTGGTAGACCATCTTGAGGAGGAACTAATGGATATATCACGACAAAAACGAGTGCGCTTGACTCCTGAATTAGGTCCGAAATCATCACCGAACCCGAAGCTGGTACGGCAAATTTTGCCGCCACATGTGTCGGATATTAGGAAGAGTCCCAGTGGCGCAAAGCGCCCAACAGACACAATGGAACAATACCTCAGACAGACATTTGCTCCTGTTAGGAGAGATGATAGCGTCCGATCACTTCATCCAGCAAATTCATCTAGGCCTGGAACCGGGGTAAGCTCACAAAGGCCGCCTAGGCAGGCATACCCCACACAAAGACCTCCAAGCCGCGATGCAGAGAGGGCTGTTGCCCGTCCAGGACCGACCAAACATTACCACGACGAATTACCTGCTCGGAGGGATTCAGTTGGTGTGTCACTTCGAGGAGGCGGCTCAGAAGTCGGATCTCCAAGAAGGCATTACCTTGTGAGCCCAGCAGCCGCACAGACCCCAGCTCGACGTCCAAGTCGGCGGCTGTCCTCAGCATCACCCGGTCAAAAATCACTACACCTGAGTCCCCATGTTCCGGATGAAGTTCGCGCAATGGATGCTGAGAAATGTCCAGAAATCTCACCGGAAGAAATGGACATGCTTCGGGAGATATATATGGCTTGTCAGCAGCACCCGGAAAAGTTTAATGAGTACCGTCAGGAATACCAAGCTTATCAGCAACGACTACAAGTACAAAAGGGCTCAAGCGGAGGGAAACAACCAACGGGATCTCAGTCCGCAAGCCCAGCGACTGAAGTCCCCCCTCGTTCAATGTTCGATAAAACCGAATACCATGAAACTCAGCGTGTGCTGGAACAAGCGCAATTCAGACCTGCTTGCTCCCCTCGCCACGGCTCTAGTACGGTTTTGCGTGGCGGCACTGCTTCCTCTTCGAACACCCTAGCAGGCACTCGTCAACGGCCGGAAGTATCATCACCGGTAATTAGCACACAGCAAAGTTTACCCGACACTCCACATACCCCTAGGAATCATCAGCGCAAGCGGTCTGGTCCTATACCACGAATAATACTCAAGGTACCGAAGCGTACCCTGCAACCGAATATGGGCGTCTCACCAATGAAAGGAGGTTCTCAACGAAATGTTTTGAGTTCACCGAGGAAAACTCACGGCCCAGTGGGAGGCAAAAGCCTCAAGGACTCTTCGGTCGAGGAGAGCAGTCTGGTTGGTACTGATGACTAGAGGGCATCCGAAAAATTAGTAAATCGGAGCAGTTGGATCACCTCCGCTTAACTAGAGGATGGCTGCTCGCGACAACGGAGTCTACGGTGACGCAGCCTAGAATTATCCGATATGAAGTCAGGAAATGGAGTTTGATAAATGCGACTACACGATGGTCCTACACTGGGGGGATTTGGATCTCCAGTTGTTATTTGCGTGGGCTCTCACCATGAGCCTGTGGTTCCTTTTACTGCACTACAGCTATGCTGCCTTTCCTTTATACCTACTTTCTCATTTGGCGTTGGAAGTTTCAGAGAGGAACAAACGGGTTTTGCATTTCGGATACCTCACTGGTTGGAACTTGGAAGGCATAGGCGTTGGTCGGTTCTCTATACAGTTGGAACTATTGACCTATCTTTACGTATCATCTTCTTTTGCAACTTTTTCTTTCTTTCTCTTCTTTTCTTTTGGTTTTTGGTTCTGTGTTGACGGGGCTTGCTTGGTCAATATATCGACTCAAGCGGATAGGATAGGTTTGGGTCTTCAGTTAGTTAGATATACGAAGACGAACCTGGTGGGTTTGGGTTGTGAACCACGTCTGGGGTTCGAAGCGATCACCCGGTATGATAAGAGGTAAATATAGAAGGGTGAATTTGATCAGCGTGATACCTCAACTACGATAGATGGCATTTTGAGGTATTGATAAAGTGTTTATACGAGTTTCATTTATTTATCTGTGTTGCTGCCATTTGAGTACCTATAGGATTGGAATGAACGATGAATAGCACATGCTACAAAACTGTGCCGATCACTCAAGAGACCCCATGTGCGCCAAGGACGGGATGACGTCGGATCGCGCCCACACCTCCAGCAAGGCTAGTGTAGTGTAGTTCTAGACCTCGGCATCTGCCCAACATTGTCCAACCCCAGGTCTTCCCTTTCTCGCATCATTGTTACTTACCTATCATCATCGATTTTCATATTGATTTTCTGCCGTGTCTGCGTTGTTCGCTCGTTTCTCTTTTTTTTTTTTTTTTTTACCAGCGGTGCTCCTGTTGTTCACTTAATAATATTCTTTCCATCCAGCCAACGTCAAATTCCCATTCCACTTTTATCCCCTCCCCTCCTCTCACCAACTAACTTACCGCTCTGAATATCTGGTTTCGTTGTTTCCCACCATCATCACTTAACCCACCACCAGCAGCATTTCCTCTCAGCTTATCCTAAGTATACACTCCCATCACCAAAGAGACACAGAAAAAAAAATGCCCCGAGCATCCAAACTCCTCCCCTCCCTAGGACACGCCGCCTCCGGCGCCGGCGGCACCATCATCTCCACCTTGACCACCTACCCGCTCGACCTCGTCAATACGCGCCTCAAAGTACAACGCCAGTTGCGCGCCGACGGGGCCATTGGGCCTGAGGACGGGTACCAGGGGGTTTGGGATGCGTTCCAGGCGATTTACGAGAGGGAAGGGGGGATCAAGGCCTTCTTTGCGGGGTTGGGACCGGATTTGGGCAAGAGTGCTGCGGATAGTTTTTTGTTTTTCTTGTTTTACACGGTATGTTTTTCTTTCTTTTCTGGTTCCCTCTGGTGAAGGTGGTGGTGGTTGTGATGGTGGTGATGGTGATAGTGATAGTGCTGTAAGGAAGGGGAAGTAAGGGGGGAGAAAGGAAAAAAAAAAAAAAAAAAAGAAAAGGAAAAGAGAGAAAAAAAAGAAAAGGGAGCAGAAGGTAAAAATTCAGAGGGATGATGCTAATAAAACGACGACAAAAAACAGTGGTTCCGCGCCAAACGCCTCCGCGTCAACGAACCCTACCTCAAAGTCCTCGAGGAACTCGCCGTCGGCGCCGCGGCCGGCGCCTGCGCAAAGTTATTCACCACGCCCGTCTCCAATGTCGTTACGCGCCGCCAGACAGCCAACCTGATTTCCTCCTCCTCCTCCTCCTCCTCCTCCTCCTCCTCCTCCTCCTCCTCCTCCTCCTCCTCCTCCTCTTCTGCATCACGAAGTAGTAACCCGTCTACCCCTACCGACGGCAGCAGCCCAGTCCGACGACGACCAAGTTCCCCCCCGGCTGCGGCTGCACCAGACCTCTCCTTCACCGAAACCATCGTTTCCATCTACCGCGAGCGCGGCTTGCTCAATGGGCTATGGGCCGGATACTCCGCCAGCCTGGTATTGACGCTCAACCCCAGCATGACCTTTTTCCTGCAGCAGATTCTGAAGCGGATGTTGGTTTCGAGGGAAAACTGGGAAGAACCAGGGAGTGCCATCACGTTTGTGATTGCGGCGTTGAGCAAGGTCATGGCTACGAGCGTGACGTATCCGTTCCAGATTGCCAAGGCGAGGGTGCAAGTTTCTGCGGCGCCTTCGTCGGCATCGGCATCGGCGTCCGCACCGAGGGATGATACTAGTAAGAAGGAGGTGAAGAAGGAGGGGAAGAAAGCAGCGGCTACTACGGGAAGGAGGAGGGAAACCATCTTCTCCACAGTCCGCCGAATAGCAGAAACCGAGGGTGTTAAAGCCCTGTACGATGGCATTGGAGGGGAATTGCTCAAGGCGTTCTTCAACCATGGCTTGACCATGTTGTCAAAGGATATCATCCATGGGTTGATCATACAGCTGTACTTTGCTGTGGTGGCGGCCTTGAAGGATTATAGAAAGATCAGGGAGAGCGTGAGCAAGAGAGCGAAGAAAGCCAGAGGGGATATGAGCAGGTATTATATGCTTGCGACTTTGGCCGCGCAGATGTTGAGGCAGAGGGGGTTAAGGCAGACACTGGCGATGGCTGGGGTTCTTGGAAAGGGGAAGGTTGAGTAGGAGTGAAGAGGGGTTGGGTTGATCATGATGGTGGGTGTCGGTGTAACAATGCGCGGCTGCATAGGGTGGCGTATAGGCGTATGTATGTATTTATTTTAGGGATGAGCATGTTTTGATCAAAATCTTTATCTGTTTTGGCTGGAGGGTATACATATCTGTGAGGGTAATGGTGAACGTGAATGTCTAAGGGCAGAACTTAACACGCGAAGCCGACTCCGTCTTTCTTGACCTGATTCGTGCCTCCAGCTGAGAACCCCGTACCTTCGCGCCTCAGTTCCACCAACCCAGGTTTTATCGTCTCCTTCTCTTTCTTCTCCTTCTTCCGTTCTTTCCCCTTTTTACTACTCGACTCTTTCTTCTCCGTCAACTCCGTATCGCAGACATAGCACACGATAGCATCGGGATCTACATCCGGCGCATGCGGATCATGATGGCCCGTAGGCTTCATGAACTTGTCGACGCAGTTCTTACAAAGCACATGGCCACATGGCTTCGCCAGAGTTGCTCGCGACGAATTCGACAGCGACTTCTTGCAGGCGGGACATATCCTCGTCTTGGTTTTCGTGCTCGAGTCCTCCTCTTCCGTGAAGTTGATAGCGACAAGCGTGTGGAGCGAGTAAAAGTGCGGTCTGTCTTCGGGCGCGGCGGGACATGTCGGTTGGGTTTTGACTTTCTTCTTGATGTCGTGGAGGATGTCTTTGGAGTTCGAGGAGGGAGTTACGGAGGGCGACCAGAAGGAAGGGAGTTTGGGTTTCGAGGCCTGTTAGGGAACAAGACAAGTTAGAATGGAGCGCGATCGATATAGGGTGGAAGAAGCAAGGGGAGGCATACCTTTTCGTCTTCAATGGCTCTCCTTGCTTTGGCTCGCTCCTCTTCAGCAATCCTCGCAACCTCGTCTCCGTCCAGAGAAAACTTGCGTTTCTCTCCCCTCTTTTCTTCTATCCTCTTCTCATCTCCATTCTTAGTTGATGTCGATTCGGTTTTTGGTAATGTGATGTCCCGCTTATCATCCCCATTGCCATTGCCCCTCTGAATCGACAATCCGGCCTGCGTAAGCTCAAACTCCCTAATCGCCCTCTCCTGTGCCTCGGCATCTCTTCTTGCTTGCTCCTCAGCTGCTTCCTTCTCCTCCTGCTCCCGCAGCTTCTCGGCGCGCTTGATCTCCTTCTTTTGCGCCAGGATGTTGGTCAGAGCGCATTCGCGGCAGAAGATGTCGCCGTGCAGACAGGCGACCGGGTCGATGGCGGTTTCGAGGCAGAGAGAGCATGACGCAAACGGCAGGAAGGATTCGCGCGAGAGACGGGCGGAGGAGGCGGTCCAGGCGGCTTTGGCTAGCTGCCGCTCGTACGAGGTAAAGACGGGTCGGCTGGTGTTTCTTTTGCCTGAGAGGTCAGAGTCTTGGACGTCTCAGATGTGTGGTGGAAGAATTAGAGGGGCGGGCTTACTGTGTGACATGTTGTTGGCTATGCTCGTTCAATGAGGTTTGTTGATGTTTTGGTAAAAGTTTTGGAGAAGCAGTCGGGCAGTCGTGAGGTCACAGGAAGATGAGAAGTCGCGAAGTTCCCTCTGAACAGCCCCAGGCAGGGACCTAACAATTGCAGCACAACAGCAGTTCCCCAGGCCCACACTGTTTGCGCGGGCGCCAGTGGACGGCTCTTGTGGAGTGGATTAGGGGATTGTGGGGAAGACTTGTCCACTGTGGTGACCCTGTCAGGCACATGCTGAAATCGTTGGCCCGTCGGATTTTACAGCGGACGGACGGGATGAGGGTTCGTTCTGCCGTGCGCTGTGACGCCGATCGCCTCCCGCCCCTTGGTTTCCATTGCAGAAAGTTGGGAAAATGGAAGAGACGGGGGAAGGACCGAAATAAAGTCGAATGTTTTTTGTCGCCTCAACAATTCTCATTGTCATGTAACCTACCCTAGATATTTGGCTTTTTCCCAATTAATTCCAAACCTGGCATCGCTCTCTTCCTACTGCTTTCGTGGTGATTGTCGCGGGGACGGCTATCCATAGGATCGACCGCTTGCTCCATGTTCCACTCCAGTTGACCTGACTTTCTGCGGATGGCAAAAACCATGAAAAGAAGCCGGCCTTGACTCGTGATAAAAATTTCAGAATACCTACTTTGGTCACAACACTTCTTTTTTTTTTTTTTATCGCGCCACTCGCCGCTTTCTCTTGATTCCTACCAGAACAGAGTGATACCTTGACCGTCACTCTCGCCCTTTTCGGGAATGTCGTCCAATATGACGTCGTCGGCAAATTATAAACCACCAGCACCGGCTGCAGATGCTGCCACTGGCTCTCATGGCACCACCGCCACCACCACCAGCAGCACGATGGCCTCGCCGCAGCAACAGCAACAGCAGCAAATACAGAACCACGCACAAGCGCCTCACAGCCCTAATCTCCCGTCGCGAATTGCGTCGGTGATGATTATGGGCCTGACGGGTATCATCTCCAGGACATTCTTGTACGGCTTCAACGACATTGAAGTCAAGGGCCTCGACAGGTTCAAGCAGCTTCTAGACAGTCGCGAAGATCCGGAGAGGAGAGAGCGTGGACTTCTCACAGGTGCGTTAATTAATAAGGTTCTACTACATGTAAAAATGTCCATGCTAACAGTGTAAATTGCAGTCTCCAACCATATCAGTGTGTGAGTGCCTCAAGTCCGTGAGCTTCAGACAGTCAACCCAGAACACCAAAGCTCACATGTGTGATGACATTATGCAGTCTCGATGACCCGGTAGTATGGGGTGTCCTCCCATTAAGTTACGCCTTCAACCCGAACAATCTCCGCTGGACACTGGCCGCTCATGACATTTGCTTCGCCAACCCGTACGTCTTCTTCTTCCAACTCCCTCATCCCTGACCCCATCCCATCCCATCCTATCTCATCCCATCTCATCTTATCTGATCCTAACCTCCTTCACAGAACATTCTCCGCTTTCTTCACAGCCGGCCAAGTCCTCCCCTGCCACCGCCTCAAACACTCCCCGCACGGCGGCCTCTTCCAGCCTTCCCTAACGCAAGCCATCCGCCTCTTATCCTCCCAACCTTTCACGCAACCCGGCTTCTCCCCCGCGCCCCTGACCTCCCCCGTTACTTCCCTCTCGACCCCTTCAGCAGTCGACATCCCCGACCCCTTCACCATCGGCACCCTCACCTACTCCACCACCGGCTCCGACTCCCACCCCGCCCCCTCCATCTACACTCGCAACCGACACTCCTGGGTACACGTCTTCCCCGAGGGCTTGGTCCACCAGCACCCGCAGGTCGATCTGCGGTACTTCAAGTGGGGCGTTGCGCGCCTGATTCTCGAGAGCGAGCCGGCTCCCGACGTGGTGCCCATGTTCATCGATGGTACGCAGCACGTGATGAACGAGGAGCGCGGGTTCCCGCGTTTCCTGCCGAGGATCGGCAAGAAGATCCGGGTGGCGTTTGGGGAGGTGGTGGATTACGAGAGGGAGTTTGGGGATTTGCGGAGGAGGTGGAGGAGGGAGGTGGAGAGGGTACGTCAACAAGAGGAAGAAGAGGTAAAGGCTGCTACGAAGGCTGCAAAGGCTGCTAAGGGGAACGAGTTGGTTACTGTGGAGAACAGCAGCAGCAAGCCGAGGTTGCTGGGTGACTTGCCTGAGCAGCTCAAGTATTCAGAGGAGGCGCAGAAGATCAGGATCGAGTGCGCGAGGAGGATGAGGGAGCAGGTCCTCAAGGTCAGGAGGGAGTTGGGCGGGTATGACGAGAGTGATCCCAACTTTGGAGAGGCGAGCACGTGGGCGCCGGATAGGAAGGTCAAGGCGGAGAAGTATAAGAGCAGAGTGGATGGGAGCGAGATTAACCAGGACTAGGAGTGCCGTGGCTAAGTCTGCTCGTCTATCAGTCTGCGACTGTTGTGTGTGCGAGAGAGTGTGGGGGTTGAGATGGAGTGAAAAAAACAAAATAGGGTCCAGAGAGGCCAGAGCGCGACTGGCTAGCTGCCCGAGTCTCAGCTACCTCGGTCCGAGAAGAGAGGAGAAGTAGAGACATTATGGATGTATCTTGTATGTATATAGATTTGCGGTTTGGTGACATGGGCGTCTGTGATAGTTGGCGAAATCTAGAAAGCGGGCGGATCAAGATAGAGCAAGGTTGGGAAAAGCAATTTATTGTATTTCATTCACGAGATACATCGGGAGGGCTAGCAGGGCTTGAAATCAGCCTCTTGCGTTGTCTACAGTCGAGTATGATCATGAGAGTAGGGGATATTTGGGGATCTTAAATCAAACAGGCCTATTACACATTCGGTCTATTTGACAAGATTAATGTTCATTGGGCTGGTTTATGAGCAGTAATATATACCTTGAAAAGTCATTCAATAACCCCGGCTTGATTCCTTACTTTCAGCTGTGAACATAATACCCAAGTGAGCAAAATGTAACTTGGGAGAAGATTTATTGTTCAAACTTGGGTATCCAAAGGGGTAGTTTGTGACCCTCAGTGCCAGCCTTCCACATACCCGTGTAAGTTCGCCAATCCTACAAAAATTTGCCCATTCCCATCTGGTGGCCTGATCCGAATATTCCCAGTTCCTTTCGTAAGCCACCCCCTTTCGCCGGATTTCAAATATCCAACGCTGTCAAGAATACGACTCCTCCGGCCTCTCGTGATACCAAAGCAGCTGCTGCCCTCCCGCGAGCTGCGTCTGTGGTTGCGGCACAACAATAGGCGCCTTTTTCCTCGACGAAGGCAGAGACTCTATCGACGTTAACACCCCTTCCGGCGGCGTATCGGCCCTCTCTTGCTTGACCTCGTTGTTGCTGTTGTTGTTGCCGCTACCTCCGACACCGCCATCCACCACCAACGTCTCTGCCAACCCTCTCGCCTGCAACATCCCAGTATCCGCAAAAATAGTCTCCAGCATATTTCGGGCAAACACCGTATAATGCCTTGGCACACCCGGTGCTGACCCAGCCACTTGAATCTGGAACAACAAGTTCGGCAAACCCACCACGCCCATTCCCGCCCCTCCACTCGTCATATCGATATAATCTCGATGCTGCCTTTCCAGCCTCGGATGTCGGTAATGCGTCGGGATGGAAACCAACAAGTCGCGCGCAACACGCCGAATGGTGGCAAGGATGTTCTGCTGTTCCGCCGCCATGTTGGCGGGGGAAAACACTTGCGCACAGCTCACCGGGTATCGATCGCTAAACTCGATCAGCAGCCGACACGTGAGCAGCCGCAGCCAGCGCTGGTGGTTCCAGCCGCGGGCGACCCAATGGTCGGCATAGACATGGTAGCTATCTTCGAAGACGCCGTCCGAAGGGAAGAAGCCGGGGGCGCAGCGCTCTTCGAGGATGGTCCATATGGAGCTGACACTTCCTTGGCTGTGCTGGCGTTCCCAGGCGTCGAGCTCGGCGTCGATGGCGAGGGCGCTCCGGATGATTTGCGAGGTTTTGGGCCGTCCGTCGATGAGGGCGTAGTTGCTTAGGTAGGCATTTAGCTTGAGCAAGCGAGTGGCGATGTCGAGGATCTCGACGGCGGGTTTGTCGGAGGGTGCGGCGAGGCGGTTGCATAAATCGAACCAGCCGCTGTAGGCAGGTGGGAGGGCGAGGTTGCCGACGTAGAATGGGTTGAGCTGGTGATGTTAGTCTAACTGAGAATCGGTAGGATGGGTTGAAGTTGGGGGGTTGAGGGTACCAGGGCAAGACATAGTTGTAGGAAACCACGCATCAGGTCTTGAGGTAGGTTAGGAATACAGAGAAAGTTACTGAGTAAGGCTGTGGCTCCCATCAAATGGGTTCGCACCGCCTCGGTTGGTCGACCTTTGTTTCGGATTACCTAGAAAGACATGTTAGTAACACCGTCCAAGAATCAATGATACATAAGAGATAGTCCTCACTTCATAGATCGCAAGCATGATGACAGTTCGTAAAGAGATATCCAAGTTCATTGCCTGAGGGTTTGCTATCGAGGATGCCGTATGTTGAAGTGCCAAGCCGTATTTTTGCCTCGCCATGGTAACCAATGCCTTGTTGCCAGTGAGGTTGGACATACTCGCCAACCCTACGGCTGCCATCATGTCCCGAAACTCAGGGGCATGAATCCATTCCACCATCCGCAGCTCATGTGCCGCGGTAGGTTCGTCCGGATGTCCCACCACATAATGCTCGACGTAAAACTGGATGGCCTGGTCGTCCTTAGTGGCGTAGATCTCTTTTGGTAGCCTTGTACGGCTGTGTTCGGGTGCTGCTGACAACTTGAACCGCGGCCTTTCGGAGAAGTAGCTTCGACTGGAGACGACGCTCTTGGGAGAGGGAGTTGACGATGAAGACGAAGATGAAAATGACGAAGAGCTGGAAGGCGAATCCGCGGAATCCGGGAGGTCTGAAATCCCCCACTGAGCGTGTGCCTTCTGGATAACCTTGGTGCTCTCATCTCGAAACATCAACGACAACTGGTCCCTATAGCCGGGACAGCTCTTGCCCACTCGGATGCATTGGGTGCATTGTGGCTGAATCTTATCACACTATAAAGCAGAGGAAGGATATCAGCAACCAAGTGACTTGTCAATAAAGTGATGCAGGAGATCGAGATATATATGTTTTGTGTTGTTGTGACCTGGAGCTCTTATGGGCTGGGGCTCGGCTATAAGCAAAGGATGATCCCCATAATGTAACGCCTCAACATGGACAATGGGTACTTTAGACTTTGTAGATATTTGCTCGTTGCACATTGTGAGACAGTGCTGGGGCTTGAAGGTGTTGTGTGGGAGCGGGCATTTATAAGGATAGGGCGGCACATACCTTGATTCTCCTGGTTCGACAGTTCTGGCACCCCTGGGAGGCTTTGCCGCAATAGACCATGGTTCGGTACGATCCGAGAATGACAGTGTACTTGCAGGATGTATAGATTCCGTGTGCCGGCGTCGGTAACCAGTGATTGCAGAGACAATGGGCGTACTGTCGATTCCACCTGAATGACTGTCGGTCGTATCGTGATGTGTCAAAAAGTGACCAGGAGGAGACCAGCTACGAGACAATTGTCGGATAGGGAAAGCAGATCGTAAAATGGTGGGAAAAGCCCGGCATATCACTGCAAACCCATGCCATATGCCTCCACATCAAGCACGCCGTGTTCCTAGTCTCCCGCTAGAGACAGCGGCTTATGCTTGCCGTTTTGTCCTCCGGCGAAAATGGTAGCAGAGCAACGTGGGGATAGGTATCAACCGGCGCGGAGATTACCACCTCAGCATTACTTGGAGGCAGCAAAAGGGCACTCCATTCCGAGATTTGCATTCCCAGCTTCTTCTCCCCAGTCACCACACATCAAGGCATGGAGTGTAGAGTACAAACGTTGAAGCGAAACCCAGGTGGCGTCCTCTGGGTTGAAGCTGATCTCATCCCCATCCCGTGAAGAGCGAACATGACCGTCTTTACCTCTTCAGCTTTCACGGTTCGAGGTTGGGTATGTAGCTGGTCGTCTCCACGTCGAGCCATGGCAGATAACATTGTGATTCCTGGCACGGTCAGCTGGTTGGATGAACCACTGTTTCTGTGGGTTTAAATCCAAACATGCCATGATGTGAGGGCCGTGCGCTTCCGCTTACCGCACTGTTGGAGCACATCCACAGTGAATGTGTGGTGTGGGGGGACGATCCTTGTATGCAGTGTGAGACCAGGCACGGATAGGTAGGTTTCTTGGCCCTTCTGGCGGCGGGAGGGTTCGATGGAAGTTCATCCAAGATGTCAATACTTGATGATCAACTCGAGAGCCCTAAGAACGACCCTGTCTGTTTGCTGCTATGTAGCTTGTATCGCCGTCAAAAGTGGCCGTGATGTGTTGGTTGTGGTGTTGCCATGTGACGAACGTTTTGTGATGCTGTACCTTGACATACATAGCACAGTAGCTGTCAAGCCTGCATAAGTGGAAACCCCTGCTTATCTAGCTTTGCGAGAGCAGCCCTGGTCTCCAACTTGCAGCATTTCCAAGGCCGAAATCGTTAGGCTCCAAACAGCTTTGCTGGTCCACGAAGAACCATAAACAATAGACCACATAGCTGGTTGGCGACGACGACGACGGCGAGAGGTGGAGATATTCCGTGAGATGCTTCCTAAGAAGATATCGTATTCTATCGCGGCCATCCGGGGGTTGTGTAGGTACAGTGTCTGGTGGCTGGGCAGGGGATTAAGGGGCAAGTCCCCCACTACCCCTGATGCTGCAGCCCTTTTCCATGATATCCCGGAATCCGGATGTCTAGCGCGCGCCTCAACCCTTTAGGACACAAATCTGCTTGCTAATAACGCAGAGTGTTAAGAAAAGGGTTGATGGTGGGAAGTGACATGACTGATAGCAATTTGATATCGACAAACTGGTAGGAGTCCAAAGCAGGCACGGGGAGTACGCAGTGGCATAACAACAGTGTTCCTTGACAAATGGAAGCGGATTTCAATTTCATTTATGGGAGGAACTTGATGCTTGTCAAGGGTTCAAGGGCAGAAATGTAGTGTATATATATCGCAATGAGATCTACCCGGGAAGTACACTGGTACACTCCTTGTATGCCATATGTGAAACCAAACACCTTTTGGCTTCACTTGATCGACGTGTCTCGCCCGCTAGGAAAAGCCCAAGTTGATATGCAGTGCCTCTCTCCCGTCTTTCGTGAGTGGGAGCTTGCCATCCAGACAAAGGAAGGCCTAGAGGTAGCCTTCCACCGCTTGGGACATTGGCCTCGGTCCGTTCGTCTTGCTCTACGTACGCTCAGATGATGGCGTCGTGCCCGTCATTCATGTGCAAGAAGGAAGGAGCTCGGGAGCAAAGGCGATGAGAAGTGGGAGGTTTCCAGGTAGAGAGAGAAATAGAGAGGTACGTACCCGTTGCCTGCCAATAGCAACAGTCCGTCCCCTTCTTCCTCACACCCACGGCTACTTCCGAATTGGGTGAGCTTGGATTGAATGTGGGGCTCTCTACCATTCAGAGGACGGGAAGGTTCCCCAAATGCGGGCGGCGGCAACACCGCAACCCAAACCATAAAGTTTTCTGTTCGTTGCTGCCACCACTGCAGCTTGAGATCACATTTGCCCTTAACAGCCCGACCAGGACCACTGCACTGCGTAACCACAAACTGCCATCGTATTATTCACGACTGACCTCTTCACAATTCCCTCTCTCCCAACCCACGAATACCTCTACCCAGTCCCCAGTGCCAACGCGTTTCTCTCCATTCCGCCAGACTTACAACTAGTACGTAGTGTACAAGAACAACAGCCATCGCCGAGGAGGACAAGGTGCTTTTTCCTTCGCCAGGCAGCTTTCTACTTACCCCCCGCCACCAATAATTTTTCCAGATTTCTTGTGTGGCCGCCCCCGCACAATATCTTTTTTTCTTCGCACCTCATCCTCAACCGTCGCAGCAAGTAATCCGCTTCCCCAAGTCCGCACAAGCACGAGGTAAGCAGCTAGCCCCTCTGTCAAGCTGTCTAGTCAAGGTCCCGGGATGTTGTCACAGAGCAGACTGACGTTTGCCCCAGGTTGAGCTCAGATCTCCACTCTTGGTTGCCCCACTCTGCTGGTCGTCCACGTTAAATCGGCAGCTTTTTCCCTCGACACGCGCCTACTTCTGGCATTCATCCTGCCATCTACGCCATTCCACGACACCGCACTCACATCCACATCCATCAACTCTCTTCTTGGCGTTACGAAAACCACCGCAATCATGGCAACAAACGGTAATGTTAATCACAGCGACCAGTACGCAGCGCCCAGCTCGACAACCGAGGCCCCCGCCACTGCTTCCACCACTTCCCAGACCCAGAACCAGACCCTGCCCAAGGATGAGGTCGGCTGGTACTTCGTCGAGCAATACTACACCACTCTGAGCAAGAACCCCGAGAAGCTCCACGTGCGTCCAATTGATCCCACCCTGAGCTCCTACTGAGCTATGGCTTACTGTTTTTGCAGCTCTTCTACGGCAAGAAGTCCCAGTTCGTCTACGGTCAGGAGGCCGAGGTCTCCTCCGTTTCCTATGGCAGACAGGTGAGTCGTCTTCGCTCCTACCCCTTCTCCTATTGGACCCACATGTCATCATATGCTGACTCCCAAGTACAGGGCATCCAGGAGCGCATCAAGGGACTCGATTTCCAGGACTGCAAGGTCCGCATCTCGAATGTCGATTCGCAAGGCTCCGGCGACAACATCGTTATCCAGGTCATCGGCGAGACCTCCAACAAGGGCGCCGAGCCCAAGAAGTTCGTCCAGACTTTCGTCCTTGCCCAGCAGCCCTCTGGCTACTTCGTTCTGAACGACATGCTCCGCTACATCAAGGAGGAGGGTGAAGAGGAGGTCGAGGAGCCCGCCCAGGAGGCTGCTGCTGCTCCTGAGGAGGAGACTCCCGCTCAGCCTGAGGCTCCTGTCGAGGCCGCCCCTGAACCTGTCGAGGAGGCCAAGCAGCCCGAGCCGGAGGCTGCCGAGCTTGATGCCAGCGCTGTTGACCAGAAGCTTGAGGAGGCTGCTGAGGAGGAGACGCCCGCTGCTCCCGTCGAGGCCGCCCCTGAGCCTGTCGAGGAGGCCAAGCAGCCTGAGCCAGAGGCTGCCCCCGAGCAGACTGCCGAGCCGGAGAAAATTGTTGAGGAGATCACCGAGGAGGAAGTTAAGAAGCCTGAGGAGCCCAAGGCCCCTACGCCCACTCCTGCCCCTGCTGCTGCTCCTCGCGCGGCTGCTCCCCCTGCTGCCGAGCCCGAGAAGCCCAAGGAGCCTCCCAAGCCCAAGACCTGGGCCAACCTGGTCGCTGTTGCTGCCGGCCCCAAGCCTGTTGTTCCTCTGACCAAGGCCGCTACTCCTGCGGTTCCTGCCCAGACCCGCGCCGCTGCCCCCGCGGCCGCTCAGCAGCCCGCCGCTGCTCCTCAGGCTGCCGAGACCGCTGCCGCCCCTAAGGAGCAGGCCAACGAGTGGCAAACCGCTGAGACCAAGCGCCAAAGTCGTCCCCAGTCCACGATCGCCAGCGCCGAGAAGGAGACCGCTATGGCCTACATCAAGTATGTCACGGAGAAGGTCAAGGAAGAGGACCTCAAGGGTCTCTTGAGCAGCTTCGGCGAGCTCGTCTACTTTGACATCAACCGCACCAAGGTATGTTACATTGCTCATGCTATTCGCTGATATGAATGGAAATTGACAACCTCTTAGAACTGCGCTTTCGTTGAATTCAAGACCCAAGCCGGTTACAACGCTGCCGTTGCCGCCAACCCCCACACCGTCAACGGCGAGAACATTGTTGTTGAGCAGCGTCGCCCCAAGTCTACCGCCTTCGGTGGTAGCAACTACGGTTCCGCTAACCGTGGCGGCGCTGCTGGACGTGGCCGTGGTGGCTTCGAGGGTGGTCGCTCTGGCAGCCAGAGCGGCGGCCGCGGTGGATTCGGTGGCCAGTCTCGTGGCCGCGGCGGAGCCAACCGTGGCCGTGCCCCTACTGCTCAAACCCCTACCGCCTAGGTGGCGTGAAGGGTTGACCAGAAGGTCACAGTCGATATTGCCTAAAAACTCGTCGCATTGCCCAGTGTGATGATTGATAAAATTTATCAAACGATATATATGGTTGTTCCTCTCGCTTGCGGATGGGCTGGAGTTGTTTGGAAGGTTAGGAAAAGACCTGAAGACAAAAGGAGGCACAAAATTCGTCTTCGGTGGGAATGATTGCCGCGACCATAAACGGGAAATGACTTTCATTTTTTTGGGAGGAGA